ACCCATAAAATGAACCAAAAGTGCCAAAAACCACAATTGACAAGATCTAAAGAACTATAGAGCAAGATATGAGTTTTATACTCGCAATAGCCCAAAAATGAAGTGACTTTGATGGATCGAAACTTGAAACAACATTCCTTGCAACCAAAAATATTTTCCTGATCTTTATTCATCAAATCACCACCAAAAGCACCTAAAAGAGGTCATAGGAGAGGAGATGATCTCAAATCATGATGAGGGAGGGTAGGGTTGCTTCCAATGAGTTCTAGATATGATAAAGGCTGAAAAATACCCTAAAACATGGAACCTTACTTTTAAATACGCTGAAAACCCTAAAAATCATGAGATTTGGTGCATACTGACCCCTTTGTGGTGACCTGCTCACCACTCTATGGTAACGAGTTTTCATCGATTTCACTCCAACTTCTGTCATAGCTTCTTCATTACAAGTCCGTTTTTGGTGATCTTTATATGTACATGAAGGTATTAACAAGCCCCAATATATATATATATATATATATATATATATATATATATATATATATATATATATATATATATATATATATATACTTTTGACCTAAAACCTACCAAACTAAATGATAGGATTTACATGCAATAACACGGATAAATCCTTAACACTTAAGGGTATATGCAACCTATTAGATCTATGTCATAACACTATTGAAGTAACATTCTATTGAACAACAAGAAACCTATGAACCCTAGGTACTTCAAAAGACATAAACAAGTTAGGGTTTGCAAACTATTTAGTTATTGTAGTACATTACCAATGAAAAAAATTCTTGAAATACTCTTAGAGGCAAGCACCACAAGTGTCGTGCCTCTAATGGTTCACACTCAAACCTTAGAAAGAAGGAAGACTTGAGAGAAGAGGGGAGAAGCAAAATTCCGGAACCAAAAAACCCGAAAACCAAATCGAACCGAAATCGATTTCAGACCGAACCATATTCAAATTCGGTTTTTGGTTTGCTTTGAGACCAAACTGAATTGTAAATTTGGTTTTTGGTTCAAGTTTTGGTCTCATGAAGTTTAAACCAAACCGAACCGGAAAACCGAATTTCATAAGTCAATTGATTAAAAATATATTTTATATTTTATATTAAATAAAAGTATCAATTATAAAGTAAAAATAATTTTAACTCATTTACTCTTTGGATCATTTTTTATGAAACTTTAGATCTTTCTGTTTGCAACTTTAGTTTTCTATGTTAAAAACACTTTAATTTATGTTTTAAATTTTTTAAGTTAATATTTGCTTTCCTCGGTTTCAAACCGAACCAAACCGAATTAGAATTCGATTTGGTTCGGTTTTCGAATTAGACTAAAAAAAATTTCAAATCGAGGAAATCGATTCCCACCCCTATAAATTAACAATTAATTAACAAATTAACCAAACCGAAAAACTGGAAAACCTAGGAAACCGAAAAACTGGAAAACCAAACCGATTCCCACCCCTATAAATTAACAATGAAAAAAAATCTTGAAATACTCTTAGAGGCAAGCACCACAAGTGTCGTGCCTCTAATGGTTCACACTCAAACCTTAGAAAGAAGGAAGACTTGAGAGAAGAGGGGAAAAGCAAAATTCCGGCCTAACTATTCTCTAGAAGTCATTTCCGCTATTAGGATTCAAAGGGGTCTTTATATAGTGTAACAAGGAAACCCTGGATAACCCTAAAACCAATATAATAATAATATCTTAAGTTGGTAATTATCCAGTTTCCTGATTATCCTCCAAGTATAATTCTAGTATCCTTAGACACTTTCCTAAAACCGTCCAAGGCTCTAGGATGGTTCTAGAATGCCTCTTTTTCAACTATTGAACATTTACACTTTAACCCCTGAACTTTTAATTAATTTAATTAATCCTAAAATTAATTCTAATTAATTTCTTATTAGTTCTTAATTAAATATTACTATTCCTAATTAATATACTATTCTCATAATGTATAAATTCATTTTGATTTCTAATAAATTTATTATTCACATAACAAATTAATAAATCAGTATTTCTCTCAAAAAGTCAACATATCCAATTGCTAGGTTTGAGGGCAACCCAAAAGGACTGTGCTACTATCAATTCACGCTCATATCAATTATAGTTATGGGATTAGAAACCTAATCCAATAGTCTCCCTCTTGGATAAGTCTATAACTATAACTGTCGGTATAACTTCGGAACCGATCAACAAATTATAGCTTTCAAAATCTGTTGCCGAACTCTGACCCGGTCAGTTATGTATCCTAAGATAAGTGATCAGATATTTCATTGTTCTACAAGATATCGTATGAATATGAGACATGGATTCAAATAAATTTTATTGTCCAAAATTCTGTTTCTCTATTTCCTGATTTATGACGACTGGAATTAGACTACTAATTGAACACATCAATTCTGTCCAGGCTTAGCCAAGCACTTCAGATGTCGACATCAAATCATCAAGGGGCCCAATGATATCGCTTTTCCCATTAGGGAAAAAGGAACGAATAAACTTTGAATTATATGCTTGAACTATTTACTAATCAAATCATGCACAATAATACGTTTTATAACATCGAGTTACTGATTCGTTTACGCATTATCAATGCACAACTGACTTGTAAATTATAACTCATATCTCTTAGTTTTAAGAATATAAGATATTATCGTCTCAAAATTACTTGTGATAGAATCCATGAAGTAATTCTCTAAGCATGAGTTTATCCAATACTCAAAATCTTTATTTTTCTAAGTACTCATGAACATTGTAGCAACCATCGCAATGCCTAATCTTCATAGACAATCTAAAAATTCAATTCATGAGAGTCTTATTTTATTACTTACTTCCAAAAGTATTAGCGACTGTGGAATTTCGAATAATCAAATCATTCAGGAAGTAAAACATGCAAAGTAAAACACAATAATAAACTAATTAACTTATGGTCAAAACTATTGAATATAAATAAAACTCTTACTAATTAATCACCATAATAATTATGACTTTATTCATTGTATAATGTTTCGAGTAATCAACTAACCACTTGAATTGAGCATCAGTCATGCCATGTTATGAACATGCATATTATGCCTCTCTATGTCCCTTCCTTTGTGAATAGATCGACTGGACACTATTACAGTGATGCTTATTTCATAATTCCAAATTCTTGTCACTATCTAAAATGCATTGGAATTTTAACCTTACATGCATTGATTTTCTGTGATGTCGAGGCTTCTATGTCACATAGACTAAGCCAATGATATTACAGGATATTCCATTGGAATTTTGTTACTAGAAACAAATCCAAGGTAGTGAACACTTCTCTCACATTAAAATTTCCAACTCACATGTAGATTTAATAATCAACTCCCATTATGGAAGCTTTTCCATGTTCCCATATAACCATAAATTTTGACCAAGAACCATCACAATCTAAAAGATGTCACTATGGTCCGTTCAAATTAATATCATACTTCTAACTGTCCATAAGAAATCAGTCCTTGGTATAACCTTAGAATGTTCTTGATAGTCGTTTAATAACCTTAGTCATACAAAATTCTAGTTCTTTTCTCTCATAATGCTATGAGTATTTGAAAAACGTAGAATGATTGAATATTATAGCATATGTAATCGATCCTATATCTGAAGCATATGGATTCGATTCATTACGTCACACATAAGGATTTGATATCTGTTTTGTCTCTTGCTATAATATTTCCATATATCGAATTTCCTATGTTGAACCATTTCAACATGATATTCATATATGTCCAAGACTAAGTTCTATTAAACCATACAATCTTAACTTTTAGATTTGAAACGAAGTATCAGTGCCCTTTCCCTTAAGTCTATCACGGAGAAAAAAATTCCCAAACTTTGCAGTTTGCAAATTGAAATCCTTGTTCCCCATAAACAGTATTGTCAACACACACAATACTAGCATAACGATTATGCTCCCACTAGATTTGACATGTACCTAGAAATTAACTGCACTTCTAGAAATCAATACTCTTGAGTTTCTTACTAAAACACATATTTCTATTACACGATGCTTTGATAAGTCTCCAACAAGACTTCTTAAGCATATACACCTTCATTGGATAGCTTACATGTGTGTTTCAGCCCTTTCACTACTAGGAAAACAGCCTTTTACGACGCACAATGTGTGTCGTAAAACGCTCAGACGACGCGCAAATGCGTGTCGAGGAAGGCCCAGTCATAACGACAGACGACGCGCTTTTGCGCGTCGTCTATTTACGACGCGCATTTACGACACGCATTTACGACACACATTGCGTATCATTAAATCCCCTATCAAGAAAGGCCATGTCATAAATTAAGATGACACACATTTTTACGTATCGTAATTTTAAATGTTAAAAAAAATGTTATTTATAAATCTACCAATTTTCAAATTAAATTTGCATTTAATGTCTCATAATAGAAAATAAAATATCACATACAAAAAATACAATCCATTGCATAAAAATGTCATACAAATAATCGTTCCATGGAAAGATAAAACAAATCAATAGAAGTTGTAACAAAAATTTACAAACTAATTAGATACAAAAACTACAATCCATTGCCCCTTTGCTTATTCAAGATCAACCTGCAAGTAGCTAACTAATCTTTACAAATTCACCCTTGTTTCTAATCATTTTCTTAAATACTTTACAAACACAATTCATCCATAGTACCTGAACTATAGTTGCAGCCTTGTTTCTTCTTCTTCTTCTTCTTCTTCTTCTTCTGAACTCATCTCTTACAACCATTGCTCTAAGCCTATTCTGAATAGATACAACAGTGCCTTGTCAATTATGTGAAAAAGACAACCGGAGTGGCATACCTTCATAATAGCAACAGTAAATTACTAGTTTGCCCATCCATCAAGAACGACTACACAAAACAATACACATGTTTCAGAAGGCAACATAGGGGTATTTTGGTCTTTTTAACAAAGTGATGATATTGAATTGATACTAGTGTAGAAGGTTTATCTAGACCAACATTAAGAGCTGGAAAATACATCCCTTCACCAGATTCCACCTCAGTATTTGAATCCTGAACAATTGAGAAATTTAGATATTTACGAACATAAATAAAAATAAAAAATAAAAAATAAAAATACAAGCAATTTACATGAGATGAAGATTGATGTTGATTATGCCATTCAGACCACTTCTGTAATAACTCCTCAAGCTTCTGTTTACTCTCTCTGATACAAACATGTTATACACTTAAAACTTTATACAAAAATATCTTCAACCAATGTATATAAAAATGTGCAGTGTTTAAATAATTTGATAATATAAACATGTAATTATGAAGCATTAAACAATATTGTGTTTTTCCTTTATACCTTGATAAAGAATTATAAGTGACAAGAACTGATGGAAGAATATGATGAATGTAGTTATGCTTCCCACAGCAAAATAAGACAGTACCTTTACGACTGAAGCAAAATCATCATCCAAGATAATGATGTCACTGCTTTGTTTTGCAACTTCAGTTCCTTGGATGCCCATAACAAGACCAATATCAGCCTACAGTTTGAATTTCAAAATAAAAAAACATATAAATAAAATACAGTAAAAATAATTAAATTGATCATAAAAAAATCTTTAATTATTACCTCATCCAAGATAATGAAGACAACTCCCTTATGCTTAACGTCAAAAAGACTAAAAATCTACACACATATACATATATGAAACTTTTTAAACCTTAATACCATATGCAAATTAATTTCACTTATATTGGGTTCATCTGTTTAGTGAAATTATTTGCATAAATCACTCAATTTAGTAAATTGGCCCATGGAACTGAAAACAAATTAGAGGAACAACAACAGCAAACATACCCTATTTGCAAACGATTTCTTTTTCCATTTGTTCTTGAACAAAGCTAGTAGAAATTCTTCCTGCATATATAATAGTTAGTGAACATAATTAAACATGTGATATTGAGATACATATTTAATTATTTATCTACATAATTAAGATTCTTAAATAGAAATTCTGACATAAGATACCTTGCTAATTAGTTCATCATCAACTAGAGAACTGCTTATGCTCTTGAATAGCTGAAATAGTGCTTCAACCTCACTAACACTGACTGTAGATAGACACAAAATCAATTGAGAATAATAACAAACAAGTTTTTTTCAGATGAATCATGATCGATGGGGTTGATTGATAAATTGATGATGTGGAAAAGAAAAAGAAAGTTACAAGAAGTCTGAGAAGCAAGAATCCTTGGGTCTTCATGGGCAGGAACCCGTCTGCCCACAGTGGAATAGCAACAACCCATTGAACAACAAGGATGATACATGATTACAAGCATCGCAAGGATTCACTGCTGTTTATTATCAAAAATCATCTCACCCTTCACACTAATCACAATATCAAACCCAAACAAAAAACAAAACCAATTAGTCATCCAGATCAGGATAATTAATATTGCAAAATAGAAGATGTTCTCTTAATTCATCACAATCATCAGAGACTGAAATACTACAATAACATCCCTTACACATGTTGTCTTCATTCATCAAAAAAACATTATATATATATATATATATATATATATATATATATATATATATATATATATATATATATATATTATTGACAAGATCAAAAAGTTATACATAGGATTAAAACCCAAATAAGAAAATACCATGTACATATTGTTAGAAAAATTAAAAAATTAGTATTTAACTAACTAAAGTAAAATGACAAAATTTTTAAAGAGTTATGCAATTTTTCATTGTATTTTTTGATGGAATGAAGAAAAAGCACCCCCTTCCTAAGAAATGAAAAATAACAAAGTGGAAGGAATCAAATAGCTTTTTCATTCCATTCCTTATCCGATTCCATCACACCAAACACTATACCTAAGGCTAAGGGTCTATTTGGTTGGATGGAACACACAATACCTCAGGGTAAGATGTCAGGAGTGATCCAACATCCCATTTTCCCATAATTCTTCTTTCTTCCTTTTGTATTTTGTTGCTTGCCCATATTTGCACTTGCATAAAATTTACTTTAATTTAAAATCTCAACTGTTTTGCTCAGATAACCGCTCGTTGGTTGGTCGTTTCTAGGTGCTTTTTGGTGCTTCAGTTCATACTTTTACATTTCGATAACATAATTGTACAGATATCAAACTTATTCTTGCACTATTTAAATCTTTTTTGCTGTGATACAAGCACGCAACTGACACTTGTTTCTGTCATGCTTAACATTCTTTTTTTCAAATTCATATTACACTACACTTTAATAAAAAAATAATATTAAAGTTAGTATTAGTGGATAATATTATTGTGTAATTATCTTATTTATTGTATTTATTTATCTCATTATTTGTAGGGATATTTGTTGTAAATCCATTATATATAATTGATTCTCTCCTCGTTAATTGATGAGGTTGATTTTATTACTTGTTATATGGTATCAGCCATTCATCCGATTTCCCCCTTCTAAACCTATTCGCCTCTTTCTTCTTCCTGGGATCTCACCATGACAGAGTCCTCTTCTTCTTCTCAAGATAACCCTTTCTCCATGAATACTCTATTGCACCTGATGACAATCAAGCTTTCCTCCAGTAACTACCTTTTATGGAGGAATCATCTTCTTCCCATCTTTACTTATCAGAAACTATTAGGGCATCTTGATGGTTCTTCTTCTGCACCCTCGACCACCATTACTGTTGAAGGAAAATCTCTTCCAAATCCAGACTATCAAGTATGGACTGAAGCTGATCAGCGAGCTATTATTCTCTTGCAGTCTTCATTGACCGAAGAAGCTGCAGCCGAAGTTCTTGGTCTCACCACCGCTCGCAACATCTGGCTCGCTCTTCAAGCTTCTTACAATAACGCCTCTGTTGAACGCATTCATTCTCTACGTGACTCCCTTCGACAACTCACGAAAGGTACATCTTCTGTTTCTGATTATTGTCGTCGATTCAAGGCAATATGTGACCAACTCTCCGCAATTGGTCACCCGGTTGTTGAAATTGATAAGTTGCATTGGTTTCTTTGTGGTTTGGGTCCTTCTTATGAAACTTTCTCCACTGCAATAAGGGCTACCAAACCTGCACCTTTGTTTCGTGATTTGGCTATACAAGCAGAAAGTCATGAGTTGTTTTTACAGTCTCTTCACGGTACCCCTTCTCCTCCTGCTGCTTTTCAGGCTCAGAATACTCACACTAATTCTGCTCAGGGTAGGGGTCGTTCCTTCAATTATCGAGGGTCAAATTCTCGTGGCAGGGGACGAGGTCAAGGTCGAAGACCACCTCATTGCCAATTGTGTAGAAATAATGGGCATTATGTGTCTTCTTGTCCGCAACTTCATACCTATGCTACTCAAGCTCCCTCTTCGGATGAGAACTTAGCAAAGGCCTTCCATGCACAATGTCATGTTACTAACAACACTCCCGACTGGCATGTTGATTCGGGAGCGACAGATCACATGACTCCAACCCGTGACTCACTCAATCATTCGACATCATATTCAGGTAACAATAAAGTTGTTTTGGCAACGGTAAGAAACTTCCGATCACACATACGGGTTCATCGACTATTTCACATCATATTCCTTTACGCAACATTCTTGTCATCCTAAATCTTACCAAGAAATTACTTTCTGTGAGCAAGTTAAACACTGATCATCCGGTTGATGTTCTATTTTCTCAACATTTTTTCAATATTCAGGATCGGAAAACCAAAAGAATTCTCGCTAAAGGAAGCTGTGAAAATGGACTTTATGTGCTCAAGGATGAACCACACGCTTTTGTTGCCACCACCAGCGCTTCCAAAAGAGCCTCTTATGAGTTATGGCATGCTCGTCTAGGCCACGTGTCTTTTGATGTTATTTCTACTATGAATAAGTTAGGATTTTTGTCTATTACTTCATTGTTACCAAAACCTATTGTTTGCACACCCTGTCAACTTGCTAAAGGACAACGATTATCTTTTAATCTTAATTATAAACGTTCATCTCATCCTTTAGACTTAATTCATTGTGATTTATGGGGTCCAGCTCCTATTTGCTCTAATGAGGGATATAAATATTATGTTGCTTTTATAGATGATTACTCCATATTTACGTGGCTCTATCCACTTACAACTAAGACGGGTTTCTATTCGGTGTTACCTACATTTATTAATCTTGTTCAAACACAATGCTCCCGAAAGATAAAAGTTTTTCAAAGTGATGGTGGCACGGAATTTGTGAATCACACAGTTCGCAAAATTTTTGAAGACAATGGCACATTTCATTGTTTTTCTTGTCCATACACACCGCAGCAAAATGGTCGTGCGGAACGCAAGCATAGACATATTGTTGAAACCGGTCTAGCTATGTTATTTAACGCTCATGTGCCGGCTAGCTACTGGGTGGATGCATTCACTTCGGCAACATTCATTATTAATCGTTTACCAACTCCCGTGTTACATAATAATTCTCCTTTTCAGTTGCTTTTTAATCAAGATCCGCAATATGAGAAATTTAGAACATTTAGTTTCCAAGTATTTTCCTATCTACGAGATTACTCTCAACACAAACTTGCACCAAGGAGCATCCCATGTATCTTTATTGGGTATAGCCCGCAACATAAAGGATATCGTTGTCTCGACCCTACCACCTCACGAGTTTTTGTCACTCGTCATGCTCGTTTTAATGAAATGGTTTTTCCGTTTCATAGTTCCTCTTGTGACACGAACATAAGTTCTTTGGAGCTCACTACCTTTCTCCAAGATGCTTCACAATTTCCATTATCTTCTCCCGTGTTAAAGAACAATACAAAAGACAATAGCAACAAACATACTACTCCAACCATTTGTTCTTTATGTAAGCCGCCTATTGTTACCATTAACCCTCCACATATGCCTACCCCAACTACGGAACAGGAAACACTAACCGTGCCTTCATCCAGTCCTATGCAAGAGTCTCCGCAACCGGACCAACCCGCTTCTGCCACCTCACCACCACCTAGTTCTTCGGCTCCAGTTCATCCAATGATTACACGGTCAAAGGCTGGTATTTTCAAGCCCAAACATCGATCCAATCTCGCTGCTCTTACTACTCACTCTCTTCATATTGCACTAACATGTACCACTGAGCCACGAGGTTTTAAAACAGCAGCTAAAGATCCTAAATGGATGGCTGCCATGCATGAGGAACTTCAAGCCTTGCAGCAAAATCAAACCTGGACATTAGTACCACGTCTAAATTCTACCAATGTTGTTGGCTCCAAATGGGTGTATCGCATCAAGTATCATTCTGATGGGACCATTGAAAGATACAAGGCTCGACTAGTGGCCCAAGGATATACTCAAATTCTGGGTCTTGATTACTCCCATACGTTTAGTCCGGTTGTTAAAGCAGCTACTATTCGAATTGTTCTCTCACTTGCAGTCTTGAATAGTTGGAAATTGCATCAACTTGATGTCAAAAATGCCTTCTTAAATGGAAACTTAGATGAGACGGTTTTTATGGAACAACCTCCGGGATTTGCCGATTCTTAATTTCCCAACCATGTGTGTAAGTTATCCAAGGCGCTTTATGGCTTAAAACAAGCTCCACGAGCTTGGTTCCAACGATTGAGCACTTTTCTTCTTTCATATGGATTTAGTTGCAGTTGTGCGGACACTTCTCTCTTTGTGTTCAAAAATGTCTCATGCATCATGTACTTACTCGTATATGTGGATGATCTTATTCTTACAGGAAATGATGAGACTGCTATTGCCAACTTTATTTCGCGTTTAAATCACGAGTTTGCCATCAAAGACCTTGGTGATCTTAGTTATTTCTTGGGCCTTGAAGTAGCTTACCTAGACAACGGTCTTTTTCTCACTCAATCAAAGTATGCTAGCGACATCCTCATAAGGGCTGATCTTTATGATTCCAAACCCGTGAGCACGCCTCTACCTCCCCATGCATCATTTACAACAGATGGTACGCCTTTTAAGGATCCAACTCTCTATCGATCTATAGTCGGGGCTCTTCAGTATTTGATAATCACGCGACCAGATTTGTCTTACGCGGTTAATCAAGTTTCTCAATTTCTCCAAGCCCCAACAGTTGATCATTTTCAATCTGTTAAACGAATTCTAAGGTATGTTAAAGGCACCATTTCCTTTGGTCTCACTTACAGTCGGCCTCACAAAAATTCCATAGTTGGCTACTCTGATGCTGATTGGGCTCGTTGCTTAGATTCACGTCGCTCTACATATGGCTACTCTATTTACCTAGGTGGGAATCTTGTGTCATGGAGTGCTAAATAGCAACCCACTGTCTCACAGTCTAGTTGTAAATCTGAATATAGGGCAATGGCCAATACCGCTGCTGAAATAGTATGGATTACTCATCTCTTAAGAGAGTTGCATGCGCTTTCTCCAGACAGACCTACACTTCTTTGTGGTAACAAGAGTGCTCTTTTTATGACACAAAATCCAGTCTCACATAAACGTGCCAAGCACATTGATTTAGACTATCACTTTATCCGGGAATTGGTCAGCTCAGACAAACTCTTCACAAAATTTGTTCCAACCAATCTTCAGGTGGCCGATATCTTCACTAAAAGTCTTTCACGTCCTCAATTCGAGACTTTTCGTACCATGCTACGCCTGGGACCGCCACCGTTTCGATTGAAGGGGGGTATTAGTGGATAATATTATTGTGTAATTATCTTATTTATTGTATTTATTTATCTCATTATTTGTAGGGATATTTTTTGTAAATCCATTATATATAATTGATTCTCTCCTCATTAATTGATGAGGTTGATTTTATTACTTGTTATAGTTAGTCTTGCACTATCTAAGATCTTTTTTCTGTGCAAACTAAACGACTTGTCAACTGCTGGTGAGGTGACTGCTATTTTTGGGTCTATTTAACATTTTGTTTGAAACTTAAATTCAATAAAATAATTGGAAAGATATTAAAACTAATATCTTAAGCACAAATTTACTTACAGTAGGGGAATCAGATATGGAATAGCCGCAAGGACTAACAACAAGGATAACGCCTGAGACATTGGAAAGATTGCCAAGAACAACAACAAACTCAGCAGAAGAGATGGTATGAGGAGCTTTCCAGTATGACTCATCCCATACATCACTATCCAAAGGTGCTAGCAGCGACAACAGTGGTGCTGAACCTGGTGCCGATTCAACCTAACAAAACTCAAAATACAAAATAAATTTAGCTATACCTCTTTTGCTTTTGGGTAGCTACTATCCTATATACTCCTTTATTTATTTATTCACCAAAAACGCAACAACTTCACTACATATGATATATATATATATATATATATATATATATATATATATATATATATATATATATATAATATATATATATATATATATATATATATATTAATCATAAGTTTGAATTTCTGAAACCTGACCTACTGGTAATGAAGTGAAGCCTATAATAAGAAAAAATAGCTTCATTTTTGTAAGGACATGTTTGGTTTGAAGTCCAACCAAAGTGGAATCTGATATTCTATTCCATAGGGTGTTTGGTTGCCACATTAGCGGAATTCAATTCCATCAGAATGATTCAAGAACCAAGTTTGGAGGATTTCACCTTTCCTAGGGCAGTAGGGCCAGGGGAGGGTAGAAAAAATCAATTATATTCTTCATTTTTTATTAGGAGACCAAAATACCTTCAGTATATTTATACTGAAATAAATAAAACTAAGAATTCAAGTATATATATATATATATATATATATATATATATATATAATGAACAAAAATAAATAAGTTATTACTGAATTTCATTTGCAGATATCATTCACTCCTTGAGAAAACGTTGTAGAAACCAAAACATCCCTAAGAGTAGGAGTAGGAGTAGTTTTAATCAGGTGCAGGTGCTTAGCAATGAAGAATAATAAGAAATAAAGATTACCGAGTGTAAAATGCTGCCAAATGGGTATTCAGCTAATGATTCCTGTCCTTTGAGTAACTTGTGGTTGAGCTTATTTGTTCCATGGTTGTGAGACACGGGCTGGAGCTTCATCATTGTTTTTGGTCCCATGACTTGAAGGAAAGCTTTGTAAGCAGCAAGGTCACAGCGGGTGTTTCTTCGGTGGGTGAGTAAAACTCTGACATAGTCCAGAATGAGAGCATCAAGAAGTGTATCATGACAGCACAACTTACAAATAACACCACCCCCATCTTAACGACCATCTCCTTGAACAGCAAGAAGAAGAAGAGCTCCATGTCATCATTAGCAATACCACCATCCAGCCCAATAGCACCACCACTTTTATCTTCTAAATAAGTGTGACCAACAAGCGCAAGGGCGTTTGCAACCCGGCATAATAAAGCTATGTAAGATTCTTCAAGCAGTGCATTTGGATTTATAGTAGCCGGATCGATGCCAATAGACAATAAAGATTTACCTGCTTGTCGCCTAGCTTGATGACACCACTTTGTCGGGATAATCTTTGTGGAGAAAATTGCAATCAAGCCCTAAATTGAATGGTTCTCCATTTAAATAAAACACAGTATAGGGCTAGAGTGGATAATCTGGAAGAAAAAAGACGAAGAACAGAAGAATATGAGGTCAAACTAACGGAATGGAATAAATAAAGGAAAATGCTTACCTTTTTCTTCGAAGGGAGGGTCAATTGACTTACTCTCGTAGACGATGGTTGTATGTGGTGTAGTTCATATAATTAAGGGTTTCTTGTTGTGAGTGAGATTAGGTTTTTTTGTCGATGATGTAGTTCATATAAGTCAGGGGAGCAGCCGGGAAAGTGGTTAGAGGAGAAGGGAATCGCTGAAGAAGAAAAATAGGATGTGTTCGTAAGATGGAAGGGAAAATTGGCTTAGAAGCTGGTCAAACGTAATGAAACATTGAAACGTTTGGAAACAACTTCTCCCAAATGGTTGGAGAAGAAGGCGAAACGATGGATTTTACTTTGTGCCGGTTGGAAGGTAAGATATGTGACGTAATTGGAAGCCGGAAATACAAATAGTAGCATATCATGACCGGGGGGGGGGGGGGTTGTTATCGGTGTAGTGCGACAGGAAAGAGAATGGTTGGAGAAGATGGTCGGAGACACTTGGCGGTGCGAGATCGGAGGTTGGGTGGTGGTGCGATGCTGCTATGAAGACGAAGGCCCTAGGGCTTTTTCTTGATAATTGTAAGAGGCGAGGGGGGGGGGGGGTTTAATTTTTGGCATCCAATAGGCGGGTGAAATCCCGCCTTAAAACGAGTGGTTCATTAAAAAATTATAAAGCGACACACGACACACGACACACATTTTATCAAAGGCGCCCTCCGCATTTATTTTTGACACTAATTTTAGGGCATGCACAAATGCGCGTCCTCTATCCTTCAAATTTTTCAAAACTGACATTATGTTTTAGGGCACGCACAAATGCGTGTCCTCTATCAGCGTGTGTCATTGTTTGCGCGTCATTAAAGGGCTGTTTTCTAGTAGTGTTTGTAACTATATGTTTGAAATTTCAAGAAATTCCTTGTCATTTCTCACAATTCGAAATATGAAAAGGGATGACATAATCATATTATGAATTTTAAGAATGCAATCAACACAACCACTAACCATGTTGATATTTATCAGATCTTTAAAATCTACTAGCAAAAGTGATTCCTCATAATCATTTTTCATGAATTAGAGCGAAAACTTTGCCACCTAGATTTTATGGTGCATACGTTCCCATTCATCTGAATCTATCATTTTCAACCTACAATAATAAGACAAGATTTAGGAAAAAACCAAACTCAAATTTAGATTTCCTTTTATGGACTGGACTTCGCTTATTCTAAATTTCTCGCCCTCTGGTAGCACAAGGGCCTACCAGTGCTTCCGTGTTGTTAAACAGCTCACCCATATTGATCAATGTACTTTCACTGACCAACGTGCTATGATTTTTGTAGTCAAATGAGAACCATAGAACTCATAATCATTACCAACTCAACTGGAAGGTGCATAGAAACAAAAATGTGTCAACTGAACATGATAAGTTATCAATTTCAGGTCGTGTACTAGTGATGACCAAAAGGTTTCTTGTCGACTGACTCCTAAAACTCTCAAGATCAATAAGAATCCCACTGGCTTCTTGACATATGATTTTTCTCTCAAGGAACATTCCTTGATGACTAAAACAAATATTTAAAAGTTTGTGTGGATTCTCGACAAGAAAACACTTCATATAATAGGTCTCAGCTTCTCCTTTGTTTCTCGATTAACGAAAACATCACAACTCCAATTATATATGTGTTAGAGTAAGAAAACATTTTACTCCACATATTTAAGGTGTTTTTCAACCTTCCTAGTTTGAAATGAGTTTCAAGATACGATTTGTAGTTACTTGAGTATGACTCTAAAACTTGATTGGAAACGAAGTATGAGTCATCTCTTAATTTAACTATTTCAACAATTTCTTATTGCTTTTCTTAGTCATACAATTATACTAAGATGTTCTCCAAGGAGTCAGTTGTGATATAATTCCATAATCATTAAGATGATCACAAAACATGATACCAAAGTACTCTCCTTTCCTTTCAGATTGAAGAAACTTCCATCTTTCTCCCTGATATATTCTTCTTATTCGTTTTGCTACTCTTTGAATATTTTCAAAGTATCAGAATTATGCTTAATCTTATAAACACAACCATATTTACTTAAATATAAGTAAATCATGACAAATAGAGTCATTGTCCTTTTTGGTGGATATGAATACTCCATATCAATATGTACTAGATCCATTAGTCGTTCACTTTACTCACATAAACATGTGATCAATGAATTAGTCACAATTTTCCAATGAACAAGATTCTCATACACTATACAATGTGAATTGTACAACACCAAGTATCTGTCCAAATGGTGATGAGATTTCTTTTCACTTGGTCAATCATGACAATACCACAAGTGATACCATAAGAATCAAATCCATAATTAATACTACTAATATTTGACATGTAATCAAAACTTTCATAAATGACATTGCAAGGAAATGTATAAAATGTGGCAAACAAAGAAATCAAAATCTCACTTTTATTGAAAATAAACGAAAATTTTGAACTTGTCCTTACAATGCATAAAATGAAAAACTATGTTTCTACATCTCCTATGAGCAATAACAATCTATTAAATTATCCTAACTTCTTAGTAGTAGTTCAAAACGCTAATCATCAAACCATGTGATTGAAGTCCATTTCCATGATCCGATTTAGCACACTCTACTTAAGCTTCCTTCTTTCTCTTAGATCCTTCAATAACATTCAAATGTGATCATCACAACATATACTAAGAGTCTATGAATAGGAATTTGTTAAGATAATGGATGTATCTGAAGTAGAGTCACACAAATTGACTTCACTATCTCTGAGATCTTTCAGATATTTTGGGCACCTTCGCAACCAATGTCCCTTCAATTGGCAATAGAAACAAATGGAATCCTTAGGGTTAACACATGGAACTATCTCTGAACTAGCATTTCTCTTTACCTTACAATCAAACAGTTTGACCTTGGTCGATCCCTTTCCATTAAGAATAGAAATCTTTTTTGTACCACCATAGTCACCATTGTCAATATCCATGGAAACTTTGGAATAAGACCCTTTAAGCACTTCTACTTCAGATGTGCTCTTAAGCATTTCAGTTTCAATAACAATCAACATTTGGGTCAAATCAATAAGGGTCACGTCGATTTTCATCATACGAAAGTTCTCAATGAACAGTTCGTATGACTTTGGAAGCGAAATTAGAACCGAACCAATGGCTTGCTCCACAGGCAAAACGACACCCATTCTCTCCAACTTGTCAATGTACGATTTCATTTCCAGAACATGCGTACACACAAAATTTCCATCTTGATATCTACATGCCAATAGGGCTTGAGTAGTTTTATATCTTTAAACTCGAAGAAAATGCGATGTTGGGAGAGTCACTGGAGGAGGAAAAGTTGAAGAAGCATGATGTCCAGTTCCACCATTTCCCAAAGAATAGAAACCATTTTCACATCGATTAGAAAGTAGTAGATCATCCTCAAATGATAGAGGAAAACCATCTCCAAAAGAATGAGGAAGACCATTATTTTCTTGACTTGACATCTCCAATGGGAGAAAAGAGAATTCAAGTTAATTGATTTTAATCCTTAATCATTAACCCATAAATTTTAAATTAAGGCTACAATCCATATTTTCGATTCGAACTTCGGAGGGGGATGTCGTAATCAAATTCAAATCTATTTTAGGTAGGAAAGACTTTTACCAATTTCAATCTTATGAAACTCCTAGATCTTTTGAGATACATTGAATCTAATCACTGGCATGTTTAATCTCGGATTATGCTCTCAGTTTTGTGATTGGGATGTCGAGGATCAGAAACGTGATGTGAATAACCATGCAAACCCACTTGACAACCTTGACGTCATTTATTATCTCACATTGATGTGTCGGTTAACCACAAACGGTCCATTAACAAAGTTAATTTTTCAAGATGCCCATCATATCTCTTTATAGTCTCTATTAGTGTGCTGGTGAACCACACACGCTCCACTAATGACATATAAAGTATGATGTGCGTTTTCATGGATTAGCATACATTTCACATTTTTCATAAAATAATGAAGAGTGGAAACTTAAAAATAGTTTAGTTACTTTATGTCATTATACTTATTAATGAGATTATGTCCTATCAAATCCGTTCGGCTAAAGATCCTTCACCGCACAGGAGAGCGGTGGGTGAGATTGGACACCCATTCGACGACCATTTTATAGGCCGCTTCCTTATACTCTCTTTATAGCATGGTTTCGTGAATGAGGCGTACTAGCGATTTGACTGACTGTTCTTATACATATAATATATATTAAAGTTTTAATTATATACATAGTATAAGGTGTATTTTAAAGATTTTAAAATTACAAGGTTTAATCTTTTAATAAGTTAAAATTTTAATTTAATTAAATATAAACCATTTTTATGGATTTATTAATTATATTTTAATTAATCATTTAATTAAATTAATAATAAGATCCATAAGGATGATATTTATCTT